CATACGTCAATGTCTACTCGAGCACGATCCGCACCTATGCCCGCACGACCCTATCGCCCCGTCATCCGCCATCGTTTGATGTCTGAGGAAGTTCCATTGAGCTCCCGCGGTCCAGTGAGGAAGGGCAGCGCGGCACCTGAGTCGCAAGAAGTTCCAACTTATATGCACGGGGCCGAAGGCTCTGGGGGCTGAGCTTTCGTGTTTGAGGAAGGCGAGGCCTAGACAGGTATAGTTAGGTGCGACTTCGCATAGCACCTGGATGGTGCAGTCAAGGCCGACTGTACTAACATAAGAGAAGATGCAAAGTTCTCTCGCGCACTCGGTTCAATAATGCTGATTCTTCATGTTCGTGCAAGTGGCCTAGGGCCTAGGACTGCAAGCATTGTTCATGCATTTGTGACTCTGTCGCGTGCTGCAGAACCATAGCTCTTGCAGCTTTGACGAGGACATGCAGACTAATGTTGCGGCGATGTTTCTGATGACTCGTCAACATGATGTTGATGTTTAGTCGTCAGTTTGAGGACATTTGAGATCGTGTGCGCCAATTGTGAGTGAGATGCCCCACATAGGCACGTGAAATATGTCGGGAAGCCAGTGCCCATCCCCACTAGGCAGAAAAAAAGCAATGCCATAACGACTTTGAACAACGAAGCCCGCGACGATGTGGCTTAATTGTTGCATTGGCTCCTGTGATGCCTGAGGCAAACCTTCGCTGGCTTCATTTTCCAAAAGCGGGCACCAGCTTCGATGCGACAGTGTGGAGTTATGCGACTTGGACAGGTCGAAGCAATGCACGTTTGGCTTGAGGCCCTCAAAAGCTTCAGAAGTTCAGAGGTGCATAGGTGTTGTCCGACGACCTTCACTTAAGCTACAACTTGAGGATCCCTGCCGCAACTGTGGTACGATCACTGCAGGAGCACCCACACTGGCAGCAGTAATATTTCCAGCTTCTAAGAGGCGTTTCAACATGCTTTTGCTGACCTTAATCACATCTGGATCCTACAGCCCCCTACTGCTTAAAGACAGCAAGCGCGCCAACCTCAAGAACACCCGGTTGCATGCGCATCGCCGGTACGATCACGAATCGTCATCGTCACCTCCCTGCATCGCCGTCATCATAATCCGTCCTCGCCGTCGGCACCAACGTCGCAACCGTATTTGTGGCAATCGCCGCCACGCTAGCACCCATCTCCAGATTCGTAAACAACTGTCATTCCCGATGGTGTCGTCGCAGTCTTCGAAAATGGCAGCATTTGCAGACTTGCAGATGCCGAAGAGTCCAAAGTCTTGGCAGGGCCACACTATTTGTGGTCTCTTACCCCCTGCCGTGTGTGTTCTGCGCACCAATCCGGCTCCTGCCACAGTGTGGCTCGCGTTTCGGACTCATGGAGTACTCGAGGCCTCAGGGGTTGGACTCGGTTGGACTGACAGGTGTGCCCTCATTGGTTGGGGTCTGCGCTGGCAGAAACTACAAACGGCGATGTAGTGGCAATGGGCTTCGTCGTCGTAGCAGCAGGAGCAGGTGGTGGTGGGAATCGTAGGCAGCGAGTCGCCCGCTTTGCATCTGCTGTTTCACTTGGGATGCGGCAGGCATTGCGGGTTGCACTGCCCGCATGCTCACCGGCCGTGATTGTGCGGAGGCCTCGAGTAAACTGCCGTGTCCCCAGGGAGTGGCTCCGAGGGCTTTCGAGGGAAGGATGACCATTGAGTTTAGTCTGCTGCCGGAGTGACTTGCTATGCTCGCCCGTCCTTGAGATGTTCCCACAAAAGCAATTTCTTGCCATTTCCCACCACTGTGCCAGAGTTCGGATTCCGAAGGAATGGTGAGCCTTTCGATTGAGGGCGACAAAGACTAAAGCAAGCGCTGGAGATGCTGGAGGCCTGAGGCCTGCATGTTTCGAGAAAGGATTCATGTGACATACGTAGGCGCGCATGAGACTGCAATGCATATCTATGACAGTGTGTATTTGTGCATTCGTGCCTTCCCACGTACCGACATCCGAAAACATCCGAAAACCTTTAACAGGCTGTTGTATCGTATTAAATCCATGTGAAAGAGAGCGCTGGGACGAGTCGGTTTGCCTTTTCCAGCCCCCTCCCACCCCGACCTTTGCCAGAAATGCTTCCGGGAGCAAAACGTTCGGCATCTTGTTGGACCCAGTCGCTGCGTTCACTAGTATGCATTACTGGCGGTCTGCACGGCAACCTATTCCAAAAACGTTCGGGCTGACGGGCTTGCTTGGCGATCAAATGATGTTTCTGAGGGTCAATTCCTTGCTGATGCCATGCTGTGAGTGGATCTTGAGAACATGTACACGTGTGGGGCTCGAGCCTATTTGCGACTCGGCCACGTAGCTCAAACCTCATGAACCTCACGTAGCATTGAAGGAACTGACAAAGCTTTGCAGCAATGGCTGGGCGCTGCCGTCCTCTCCATCCGCTCTGCTTGAGTCTGAGTGCTCGTCTACTGATGGGCCAGGTGATGCAGCGAAGAGTCGGAGCTCGCGCCTGTCACTGATGGGGGAATCATGAAAGAGTAACAGACCGGCCGCCGCGCGCGGCCTTGTTTCTGGGCGGCAGAGCCACAGAGCTGTGAGGCACGAAGTGCATTAGGCTTCGTGAGTTTCATCAGCTCGGAAGTTCCGTGTGCCGACCTGATCTTGAAACGGAAGGATGTCGGCCAGACCTATTAAAAATTGCAATCAAAGCAGAGGAGAGACAAGTCACTCCTCATTTCAATTTATCGCCTGCGTGCTCCTTTG